CTTTAAAAATCACATCCAAAGCACCATTCAAAGCCAGGTGGAAGGTGTAGGGAGAAAGGCTTTGCCATGCCCCTGAACAGCTCCCAACACAGGGCAGAACAACATCTCATGCCCCTTTAAAATTTAGATCCAGGAATGTGCTTTCTGGACAGAGAAGCGGAGCACCCCGGCATAGTATCTTCATCTTCAGACAGGTAAAACGAGGCACACAGGTAAAACATCTTGCCCAAGGCCCCCACAGCAGGCCTGTGGCCAAGATGAGACTCCTGGCTGCCGGTCCATTAGCCACCACGTGACACTCAAGTTACGTCACCACAGCTACTATTACAGCAATTTGGTATTTAAGCCATTATTTGTATTTCTTACTCACTTTTTCCAATTCCACTGAAATGGAAAATAAAGTTGGTCTGAATTGCATGCATGTCTCCTAGAGCCATTTGAATTGAAAGGTCAGCTTCCTCTCTCTTGTCTGGAGCTCTGAAATCAGAGGTGACTATGATCCTACCAACCCATTTTTCATGGACAAAGCTAGCTAACACAGTCCCAGGGCTGTTTACGGTAAAAACGAGTGAGCAGAGGCTTCAAAGGGTGAGTAAGGGCAAGGTGAATTCATTCCTTTCTTCTGAAAGGACGTGTCAGAAATGATCTTAAAAGTTTTACCTGAAATGCTCTCCCAGAGCATCAAGTCTGGGGCAAAACCCAAGGGCGTGATAAGTCTTGGCTTCCCATGCAGGATAGAATTGCTCTACAGATGCCTTATTAACAGTATCTTCTCCTAAGCTGGTGGTGACCAAGGGCTGATCTACACACTTCAACTGGCTGCTAAGAAAATGCTGCAGTAATACTCTAGATCCAAACCAGGCCTCGGTATTAACCAGTTAAGCGAGATCCATGCTGAACACATTCATGGTACCCAACTAATTGCACGGTTTGCTCTGTCTAGATGGACAAAGCCAAAGTGTGTAACATCTCCCCTGCACACAGCAGGTAGGACTCCAGAAAAGGTGTCAAGCTGCATTCACTCCCCACGCCTGCTATCTTTCAGGGAATGCTCTGCCTCAAAACACCACTATTATTAAACAGGAGGAGGTAGCATTATCCTCAGCCTCCGGTGCTGGGTCTTGGTAAAACAGCAATAATCCCAGTCTGATTGTGGTGATCATGGATGCAAGGATGTCATGCTGGTACTCGCACTCCCTGAGGTCACACTGCTATAACCCTGGGGGTAACTGAAACGTCCCAGACACTTGCAAGAAGCACCGAGCTCAACTAACATGCGTGGGCTTGAGACCCTGATGTGTCCCCAGCTGGGCTAGCAACTTGAATGCTGATGTCACTACCATGCTAGTTTGGGAGACTAAGACACCTCACACAAGCCTACACCTGGGGAAATATCACATGATTGTTTGAAGCGAAAAATGTTATTAAAAAAATAATAATCAAGAAAGATAAGTGGGAAATTGAGGGTTGTGGCAAGGGCCATCTCAAGATGTCTGACTTTCCTAACAGGCCTTTAATTTTGACATCAAACTTTGGCTCCTTTCCCCTCTGTCTCCTCTTCAGTACATGCTCAGTAGCCAGCCCATACCCGCACCATGTCCAGACACCCAGAACAGCACTCCACTGGATCTGAATGCAATCTCTGCAGCAATTTAGTCACCACGGGTTAGACTTCTAGTTCAATCACCACCTCAGGTGATCAGGCAACCTGATCTAGCAGAGTAAGCCCAGGACTGGAAGCCAGGAATTCCTGAATTGTAATCTGTCAGGTGTCCAGGATGTAGCCATATTGGTCTAGAGGCAAAAGGAATCAGAACTCGTGGTGGAGGCGATAACTTTTATTAGACCAACTAGATCTTTGCAAAAAAATGCCTTTAATTGCAAGCTTTCAGGCACAAGCACCCTTCTTCAGGCATGGGAGAAAAGACTGTAATCTGAACTGTAATCTGTCACCAATTCCCTGTCCAACTGTAGACAAATCACTTAATTTCTCTGCACCACTTTTTGTTTCTGTAAAATAGCAGTAATATTTTTACCCGCCACCCAGGAGTCTCATCGGTTTAAAATGATCTCTGCACAAGCCTTTGACAGTAGATTGCAATTCACTATTCCCCCAATGCCTCTGTTTCATATTAGGCCTTGGGGAGAGCAAGCGGATAAAAGGACAAAAAGTCTCTCCGATTCTCAGGACCTGAAATTTGTACCTGCCCAATCCTGCCTCTCTAATGCCCTGCCACTCTGTCTGGCACCCACAGCCAGAAACTCCCCCCATCTACAAAGATGGAGAATTACACAACTTGCACAATTCCAGCTGCTGGGGTGGGGGCTCCTGCCATACAGTCCGACCTGGGGGCAATCTAACAAGTCCCATAATCAGGTGCCCAGAAAACGGCAAGCTTTGTTATCCAGAGTCACTGGAAAGGCAGCTGGGTACATAGTTAAACCAAAAGTGTAGGGGGCCCAGTAGGAAGCTACGAGGCTAGAAGATGACACACAAGCAAGGGGAACTATCCCTGTTGCTCTGATGCAGTGCGAAAACCCCAGGAAACAAGGCCAAGGAGGATGTACCATCACTGCTCTACTGCCAAAATTTCAGTGGGAGTAAGGTTGTGTAGGGTGCGATATGTGCCTGGACTCCTACCACTCCACCGAATACTTCCGTGCCCCCTCCAGCAAATCCACACACAGCCTTGAAAAGATGCAAGTCTCTCCCCCCTAAACATGTGCCCCGGACACCCAGACTCCTTGTGATGCGTGACAAGTCCCAGGCTGAAAACTGCCCTCAAAACAGCTCAACCCGATGTGGCTTTCTGCAAGACGTGCTCGGCATCACAGTCCTGAACAGATGCTCTAAAGCACTGACAAATGGGAATGTTCCCGGGAGGGGGAAGCCAGCAAACTTCTTAGAAATGAGATCCCCCAGCCTCGTTCCCTGCTTCCTCCTCCTCCTTGCACACTAAACTTCCGTACAGGGTGTTTCTGTTCCCCAGGCTGGCGTTTTCCCACCCAGTTTCATAACCAGCTCAAAGCATGCCTTGAGACATCGTTGGGCTTGAAACCGGTGCTGCTTGGAGAACAGCCAGAATCACCAGCACCTCCTCCCTCCGACAGCTTCCGTGCAGATCTCTCCAGTTTAATCAGCCCTTATTCTCTGATGTAAGGATGACTGTAGATGCCACGCACTAACTGCATGTACAGAATCAGCTAGTACAAGTTACTTAACATACGGGGTAGGTGTTAGCTGATGGGAAACTTTTTGGCTACAGGCAGGAAAGCAATCATGGGTCTTTCTTATGTGGCACCCTCGACAGCTTCCGTGCAGATCTCTCCAGTTTAATCAGCCCTTATTCTCTGATGTAAGGATGACTGTAGATGCCACGCACTAACTGCATGTACAGAATCAGCTAGTACAAGTTACTTAACATACGGGGTAGGTGTTAGCTGATGGGAAACTTTTTGGCTACAGGCAGGAAAGCAATCATGGGTCTTTCTTATGTGG